CTAGACTTGCTAGCAAGCAGGTCCCGGGGATCTTTCTATCTCTGTGTCCCCAGCATTACCAGGAGGACAAATGCAATCCCACCATGTTTAGATGCTTTGACATGGGTTCTTGGAATGACAATCATCTCCTGACACTTGCGAAACAAGCACCTCACTGACTTAGTCACTCTCCCCCTGCCACATTGCCTTGTTTGTTTGTTTTGTTTTGTTTGTTTTTTTGAGACAGGGTTTCTCTGTGTAGTTTTGGTGCCTTTCCTGGATCTCACTCTGTAGACCAGGCTGGCCTTGAACTCACAAGAGATCCACCTGGATCTACCTCCCAAGTGCTGGGATTAAAGACATGTGCCACCACCTCCAGGCCCCATATTGCCATTTTTAAGTGCAAAAACCCCAAGCGTCTTCTATCTATCTTATAGTATGTATAGACAATACAGTCAGACAGTTAGCAACATCATGATGAGTGCCATGAGCAAGGCGAGGGATAGATAGGAGATGGGATCTTGTGAAAGAGGCACAGCTGTCGTTTTTAACAGGGTTGGTAAACTCACAAAATGCATCCTACTGACAGTGGAAGCTTCATCTCAGACCTGAGGAAGATGCCGTGCACCACGCTGAGACTATCTAGGAAGACCCAGTCAACACAGAAGCAACGACAAAGACACACGTTCCACGGGCAGAGCTTATCAGACAAACAGAAGGCATCGAAGCCAATTTCAGGATTGGAGTGGAGCAGGGGCAGGCAAAGCTGCTGGACATACATGGGTTCTCTGTGATTATGTTTTTGCTTTGAAAAAAATGAGAAATGAGTAGAAAACTGTAGGGTATGGAACACCGCACGTCCTGACGTATTTCCATAGGGTTACTAGGATTATGGTTAAGGGTAAATTACAGGGCTATCACAATAGCATGTCAGCTCAGACATTAGAGAAACTGAAATGGTCTCCCTTGTCCCAGCAACAGGAAAACTGAAGCAAACTGAAAATCAGTAACATCAAGGAGTCCTCAGCTAACTCCCATCACAAAGCTGACCACTGCCCTGAAATTTGGAAACAAGGCAGAGCCAGAGAGAGCAGCAGAGGGGAGCTTCCCAGGAAGGAGCAGCACTGTGTGAGTTAGAAAACTACTAAGGGGGTGCCTGGCAATTCTGACCAGTTGACTTCATTTTCACTATTGTGTCTTGGGTAATAGAAGGGGGTCCCGGCTGGTTTTATGTTAACTTGATACAAACTGGAATCATTTGAGATGAGGAAATCTCAGTTGCGAGAAAATGCACTGTGTCAAGCCTTTGGTACATTTTCTTAGTGATAGATGTAGGCAGTCTGGCCCATTGTGAATGCTGCCACCCCTGGGCAGGTGGTCTGGGTATATAAGAGAGCAGGCTGAGCAAGTCACGGGGAGCAAGGCAGTAAGCAACCTTCTCCATGATCTCTGTATCAGTTCCTGCCTCCAGGTTCCTGCCCAACTTCCTTTAGTGATGAACTGTTAGGTAGATATGTAAGATGAAATAAACCCTTTCCTCCCCAAGTTGCTTTTGGTCATGGAGTTCTATCATCGCAATAGAAATGCTAACTGAAGCAAAGGAGAAGACTGAATCTGGAATTTTCACACAGCATTTTCTATACAGAAGTCTACTTTCTAGTAGAAAGGAAGCTACTAAAGCCTGTCCAGATAGGTGCATCAGAACATCAGCTGGCTTGAGTCACTTCTGATGTCTCTGTCTCAATGGGATGTGGGGCAAGGTCATAGTTATAAAAGCTGAGACTCACTCATAAGATAACAGAACACCCTCAGGCATGTATAAGAGGGTTTGGTATAGCAGTAGAATATACTAAAATATTAATATATGTAAAAATAAAGGCCAAGTCTTTACAGAAACCCAAAGATAGTAAGTGAGACAAAAAATGTAAAGACAGAGAAATTTGATACCTCTGGGGCCTAAACATTTTAAATATAATAAAACTCCAATCTCAATGAACATAAAACCCCACACTGAACTCTCCATCTGTGCTATAAAATATATCATGTCTGAAATAAAAAATTACAAGGCCTGATGAAAGAGCAAGAAAACAAAGGATAAAAGTTCGGTAGGAATCTTTTAATAATACCCTAGTGTGGTGGTTCTCAACCTGTGGGTTGTGACCCACATGGTGGGGTGGGGTGTGGGGGTCACGTCTCAGATATTCAGCACATCATATATTATTTACATTATGATTCATAACAGTAGCACAATTACAGTTATGAAGTAGCAATGGAATATTTCTATGGTTGGGGGTTACCACAACATAAGGATCTGTATTAAAGGGTCGAAGCATTAGGAAGGTTGAGAACCACTGCTCTAGTGAAAGATGATGGCAGCTGTGCCCATGGGCATCACCATGGAAGTGGTATAATATGGTCAGGTACTGCATATTACTGACCACACAGCATGAAGAAATTACTGGTAGAATGGATACGGAATGATAAAAGAAAAGGGAAGGCACGAATAACTCTTGAGTTCACAGCCACACTACTGGGAAAATGAAGCTGCCATCAAGTCAAACGCTGAGGGCTGTGGGTAAGGCAGCTGTCTGGAACATAGTAGGCCAAGTCTCAATGTGCTTTTACTAAATTCTGCTCAGCGAAGGATTTATCTAAGTCCTCTTGTTAAAATACCTAAAGCATATGCCACTTATGAAGTCCTATGAAGAAGGGAATATACAAACCAAGTTGCTTACTAGATAGTTAACTATAGTGATGAAGAAATAACAAAAAAAAAAATTTAGCCATACCGTGAAAACACCAGTTTAAAATCATAACAATTAGGCATCACAATAGTTAATGGTGAAAATGACCAATGTGGTTGAAAAAGCTTCTACCTTCTGTGCGCCAGAGAGTGCTACTATGACCTTGGCATCTGAATATTGCCCACCCTCTCTTTCAGAGGAATGGCATTTGGCTGGATATTTTGACTTCCATAGATAATATTTCCCAGTCTTTCTCACAAAAAGATGTGGCCAACCATCTCTGGGCAAACAAAGTATATACAATTCCTCCAACATATCTTAGAGAGAATGGGTACACCCACATTCTACCCCTCCTCTCCTTCTTCCTGTCAGCTGAAGTGCTGATGTGACAATGAGCCATCTTGGACCACATGCACAGGGTGACCCATTGAGATGGCATGGGAACAAACGAGGGACAGGGATCCTGGAAAGCCATGGCGCCATCTTATCAGCTCCAAGCTGCACATATTGAGATTGCCACATGAAAGAATACAACATCTGTCTTCCCAAAGCACCTCTTATCTGAGCCCTTCATAATAGCAGCTTAGCATGAAATATAGCCAAAAAAATTAACAAATCCCCAAAACAACACTGTGATTCAAGTAACATGCCGGAGGATTTTGTTTTAATTCCTTACATGCATCAGTTTGAAATGACAAGAAAATATCCTGGCAACATAGACTTGTTCTAAACTTGTATAGACCACCAAAGAAAAACTAGCTGAAAAGCATTCCAGAAAAACTGCAACATTTTTTTTTACATGTTTTTGGTTTGAGCACTATCCTCTACTTAGGAAAGCCATATTAATGATTTTTCAAATAGAATTAAAGAATTGCATGGCATGAAGTAGCTCAACTCTTCCTTCAATCCAATAATTCCTTCAATAAAACCCTCTGCAACCCAGGTCAGAGAGATATCTCAGCAATTATGAGCATTTGTGGCTCTTGCAGAAGATCTGGGTTCAGCATACACAAAGTCAGGTCACACCTGTCTATAGTTCTGGGTCCAGGAAAACCGATACTCATGTCTAGCCTCTGCAGTCACCAGATATTCACATAGTACAATACATACATGTAGACATTCACACATAAACATAAAAGAAGTACTCTTTCAAAAAATGTCCCTGTAACTTAATAAAGCTATAAACAGAAATAATTCCTTGGCATAGAGAATTGTATATGTACTCAACAAACTCTTAGCTTGACTTGTGATAACTAACAAGGACGCCAAGGTCACTTCTGAGCATCTTGATCTATGGAAACATTCCAATCTATTAATAGGCCATTTCTTGTCCATTTGGAAGCATTTTGCCCCTTGGATATTTTTTTGATCTTGATGTAGAGTTGTGTCAGAAAAGAGTCAAGTTCAAATGTGGACCAACAGCTATACCTTAAAGGCTAAGTAAAAAAAATTACTTCAAAAAAAGAACGACTATCAGGTACCATTTATTGTGATGTATTTCTGCACTCATAATGCATCTTATTTCCTTTTTTTCTCTCATTTCTACAACTATCTGAATTGCCTAAACTGTGATAACATCTTTTAGTTAATCATTTTGTGTTTTGATAAAAACTAGATTCTGCTATGTCTATCAATTTTGAGATTGGCTAAAATAATTTTTCTATAAGAAAAGCAATAAGGAAAGGTAGAACCTGTATTCTTATTCTACAGGAAAAAAAATATTTTTCCCTTAAATTACTTAAGAAATCTTAAGTTAAGAATGGACTAGCTGCTTGGCAGCCATGAGCATATTTAACCTCTGCAAATCTTAGTGACCCTCACCTACACAATACTATGAGACTCAGAGGCAACTTGCCTCCAAGTCCTGTGGACTTTCCTCAGGCAAAGCTTGAAAAACCAGACCTATAGCATATTTAAGTGATGTAAACTTGACTTTCATTCTACAATGAAAGAGACAATTATGAATATTTTAAAGTGAAGATGGTAAGCATTCTTCTAAACTCTTATGACGGTCTTTATTTCCAGTCAATATAAGTTCTAATTCTTCTGTGGAAACATAACCAAGAACACTAGAAAATAGTTACCTATTGTAAGCATGGAATGCTGAATATGTGTCTCGATGGCTTTCATAATGGGTCTCTACAAAAATAAGGACGGAAGGTACAGGTTTCCCATAAAAGAATCTCATCTGTAACACTGTGTTTTAAGGCAAGAAACAGTGATACAAGAAGGCTGAAAGTGTAGTGTCCAGACAAAAACATAAAATGAAGCATTTACCTTTGGCTGGGTTTACTTTTATCCCTGACCTATACAGCATCTCCTCATTTTGCCAGTCTCCGTTCCTGATCGCAGTCTTGAGTCCATAGAAGACAATTAGCGTTGCTGTAGCATAAAAAACCAGGCTCTTGAGAAACCTCCTTTGGACTTTGACATAAAGGGCTCTGGCACCCACTGTGATCAGAAGGCAGAAGCCCATACTGGGGATATATAATACTCGCTCTGCAATAACAAAGCCAACATAGAAAAACAGGTTCGTGGCGGGAATAAAAGGTATTATCAACAAAGATAAGGACAGAATAACAATGTTCTCCGTGGAAGGGAGCTGAGTTCTCTGGGATACACTATTTTTAATGCCATTCTCTACTTTGGATGCAAAGCTCGGCTTCATGTCTGAGTTCCGGTACTCTACATCCGAGTGGCAGCTATGGCCATTTGCATTCTGTTTGCCGTTGGTCACAGCTCTCCCATTACACTCTCCTTCTAAGCTTGGGTTCTTCAAACCACAGTAGGCAAGGAGGAGAAGTCCAGAATAGAAGGCCACAGTGTGTAGATTTCTCCAATCACAAACAGTTTTGAGAAGAGGCACAGCATCCATGGACCAATCAAAGCTCAGGGTGTCTGGGCAGAGCAACAGCCAGAGGTTCTTGGTAGGCAAATAGAAGAAGGTGAGCGTGCGAGCCAAAAGGCTGTCCGAGTCAGCGGCAGGATTGTCGGAGTTGGAAAAGCTTGGTGGTTTGTTTCCCATCCAGTATAACCGGGCACCCAAAAGGCTGGTCCCCCAGAAAGTTAACAAGCTAATGCTGAGAAAAAGAGACAAGTTCTTCCTCTGAAAGCAAAAGAGAGGGAGAAAAGTCAACATCATCATCATCATGACTGCAACACGAGAACATTTCATTTAACATTCCGAGCTGAAATATGTTTTTAAAGGGGCACTTAAATCACAGCATTAAGTCTCAAATGTATGACTCTATTTGCATCTTTTAAAAATAATGCTTAGGGAAGTATTCATCTTTTAAAAAAATGACTGGAATCCTAGGTTATATATAACTTTGCAGAAATACGTTTTCCTTCTGATTTTCCCTTTCTAAAATACTGATGGCCAAAGCATCGAAGTTCTGACCTCTATAAAATAAATTCAGTGTAGTTCCCTCAAAGTGTGAGATCACAAATACTACACCGTGCTATAGCATTTGGCACTCTGTGAGCTATAGCAGTTACCTAATGACTCTCTCCTTTCATATTATAATTTAGCTTTCACAGAGAAAGCAAAGAACAGCCATGTCTGCTCAGGTCTGAGGCACCCAGGGCCTTTAGCCACATCCATCACCGTTTCAAAGTCACCATCTTGACTCACCTTTCAGAATGTATAAAGCGGGTGTTCAACGGTTGACTCACACTGTCAATACACTAGTAACATATAATATCTAAAAACACTCCTCACAAAGATATTTTCTTTTTACAATGCTCAGTCTTTAAACAAACTTTTAATAACAGATTTTCTGATTTTAAGGGAAAGAAAATTCTGGAAGTCAAAAGCCATCCACGTTCTTAAAAATTTCTTCGCTAACTCCTTAACCAGAGTAAAACACACCTGAGAAGTGATGCAGTCTGATAATATCAGCAATACAGAGGCTGAGGCTAGAAGGTCACAAGCTCAAGATCAGCTGCAGGCACATAGATCCTGTCAATGAGGCATCAAAGGTAGGGATGTAGCTCAGCAGCAGTTTAGGTGCTGAGCAAGTACATGGCCCTGTGTTCAATCCCCAACATGCAACAAGCCAAAACATGTGATGATATCTAGCAAGCTAAGTCCAAAGAGGCAGTAGAGGACATTGGAGGGGCAGATCTCACAGCCCCGTGTTCTCATACACTCATTCTGGCACAATGGTGAGGTCTGAAAGTGGGGAAATAAGTGGTACTATTAAAGGAACACTGAGTCGGTAAATTAATATTAAAATACTTCCAATAGAAGAATTCAAAGCCTGTGGGATTCACTACCATGTATGAATTACTGTCTGGCAACTTACATGTCTCTAAATGCCTTTTCAATGAATATTATAAAAAGTGAAAAAGAGTGTGCTTCCAATAAAACCAAGTCTCTATGCTAATCTCTGGTCACTCATCCTTTGAATCTTTGTTTCATTTTCTTAAGATCTTCAAATGTTTTAATTTCTTGTGTGTGTGTGTGTGTGTGTGTGTGTGTGTGTGTGATAGTTTCTCTGCTTCCCCTGGCAATACTGGAACTTACTTTGTAGACCAGGCTGACCTTGAATTTACAGAGATCCATCTGCCTCTACCGTCCTAGTGCTGGGCTAGAGGTGTGCGCCATAATCCCCTGGTGAAAGTTTTAACTTCTAACTTAATTCCTATAGTCTGACTCATACATAAATTCAAGTTAGGAAAATTTCATTGAATCAAACACTGATTTTTTTTCCTTAAAGGCAGTTTCTTCCCTTGTTGCTCAGGTTTACCTAATAACTCAAATATTCCAGCCACAATGGTAGAGGCTACATAACAGCAGCATTGATGTATCTATTTTTTTTTGTTCTTGATCTAATGCATTAAAACCACCCAACATTATTGTTTCTGAAATAGACAAGATGCAAATGTTCTAATGAGTTGATATCAAAGACTTAAGTGTTAAAACCAGCAAACACACACACAAAGAAGTGGAGGTTTACACATGGGACACTTTAAATATGGTCACAGTACAACCACTGAAACATTAGAAAAGAATGCCATTCAGTTGTGAATCATACTTAGTTCATTCAACACATCACCAAGCCTGCAACTTGTGGCAGGTGTTCTTCTCTGCATGGTCTATACAAAGGACAAAAGAAGAATGAGAGGCCCATGTTCAACTGTCACACACTACTCTGTGTGCAGAACACTTTAGGAGTGCAAGAACCGATTCTTGGCATTTAAACACACAAATGCCCCAGCACTAGAATGGAGAACACTGGCCATTCTACCAGAGAACCCAGGTTTGATTCCCAGCAGCCACATGAATGCTCTGCCTTCAGGAACTAAAATCTCAGGGGACCCAATGTCCTCTTGTGGCCTTCATGGGTACTGCATACACATGGTGAACAGCTTTATGCAGGCAACATACCCACACATTAAAAAAAAAGAAAAAATGAGTAATTCTTTTTTCCAAAAGGAAAGAAAAATATGCATTCCCTGATCTAGGTTAAATATTTAGGTGATATCAGTGCAGCCTAAACTGAAAATCACCCCATCCATAACTTCATAGTCTACTTCTTATTCTGACACTGAAATTCTGTGATTAGGAACTTTGCTACACAGATATTTAAGGCAGATTTTCCCAGGTTTAAAAAAAAAAACAATTAAAAAAAAACAATAATGAAACATAAGCCATGCTCCCAGGCTCTAAGACAATTTGAATTCTTAACAAATGAGTCAGGAAATCTAGGATACAAAGGACATGAGACAATTATAAAAGGCAGAATTCAGGGGTGAAATAGCCAAGTCATACTGCAACATGAACATGGGACTTAGCCCTAGAATTTTTTAATCTCTTAATCAGGAATCACAAAACACTGTAAAAGATAATTATAGTAAAAACATATACCCCCAAATAAATCCAAATTTAAAAAACAAGAATTGGGTAGAAATGTCATTGAAATTATGTTAAAAGAGCAACCAAGCATGTTGGGTAAAAGGGTTTTCATATAGCATTGGTGGAAAATTTGCAAACTTATAGAAAAATTAACAATTTCTATCACCTGTAGTTGGTATTTGTTACATATAAGCTGATTAAACATGTACAGGCCTGGGATGCAGAGCTGGCCCAGTGGTTAAGAGCACTGGCTGCTCTTCCAGAGGTCCTGCATTCAATTCCCAGAAACCACATGGTGGTTCACAACCACCTATAGTGGGATCTGATGCCCTCTTCTGGCATAAAGCTGTACATGCAGATAGAACTGAATGAAAGTTGTGTGTATAACTCCACTAATCCGATGATAGACATGCAGGTGATTCTACAGCTGGACTATTAAGAAGGGTGTTGCAATAAAAATAAATGCAGTAGTGCTGGAGAGATGGCTCAGAGGTTAAGAGCACTGGCTGCTTTTCCAAAGGTCCTGAGTTCAATTCCCAGCAACCACATGGTGGCTCACAACCATCTGTAATGAGATCTGGTGCCCTCTTCTGGCCTGCAGGGATACATGCAGACAGAACACTGTATATATAATAAATAAATAAATCTTTAAAAAAAAAAAAAAAGAACCACAAATCTAAACTTATAAAAAAAATAGATGCAGTAACACCAAGCTTAATCAGAAAAGAAAAACCCTACGAACTTTTTCGACATGACAACTGCATACATACACTTGTATATACTGGATTCAAAACTCGCCTTTTAAAATATTCAAAACTGCCAACACTCTGCATTCTGATTATTGAAACAAATACTTTATGTGTTAGGCTCTGTACTTTATTATTTTATTTATTATAGTTATTTTAACATTTGTTTCCCAATGAAATATTTTCTTTATTATTATTATTTGTGTGTGGAGGGGGGGGGGACACAGGGTTCCACTGTATATCCCTGATTGGCCCCAAACTTGCAATAAAGACCAGACAAGCCTGGAACTGGAACAAATCTTCCTGCTTCTGCTTCACATTTGATGGAGTTAAAGGCATGGTGCTGTAGAATATTATTTCAGGGTATGTTTCTTTTGTTTATGCACTGGAACGTTTGTTCAAGGATGCAAAGATGTATTTGATTAAAAATAAAATTCACCTGTGGTCAGGAGGCTGAGTAAGCAACTAGCTGACAGGAAGTGGTAGGGAGGACCTAGGTGAAAAGGGGTTTATGAGGAGGGGTGAAGAGAAGCAAGAGGACTTTTTGGAGGATGTGAACAAGGAGAGGAGGTAAGCTATTTGCTATTCAGCCTCTGAAGAGCAGAATTCCACCTTAACTTTTGAATCTTGAGTTCTTTAGAGGGACAGATGTTCAGTTAAGTCCCCTTTGTAGCTTTGCAAGAGTTGGAGCCAGAGGGAACAGAATTCCCTCCAGCTACTGCCCTTGTGGCCTAAGTGCTACTGATAGGGGCAGAGATGCAGTTGCTGATTCGGACAGCTGTGACTTAAAAGGCAGCAACCATTTAAAAAAGACAATAATTGATGCCCAACACGGGGCACCAAAACACCGTTTGTATTTTACTCTTTTTAGGGGACCCGTCACTCAGCTCCCAAATAAAATTCACATATGGAAGCTTATTATTACTTATGAATGTCCAGCCTTAGCTTGGCTTAGTTTCTTGTCAACATTCCTTAACTTTGAATTAACCTGGCTAGCTTTTGCCTCTGGGCTTTTCTCATCTTCTTTCTTCTGTAAATCTTACTCTTACTCCAATGCTTGCTGGTTATAGAGCTGGGTGGCTAGCCCCTGGAGTCCTTCTCCTTCTCTGGGTCCTCCTTTCCCTCTTCCTCCCAGATTTCTCCTTATATATATTCTCTCTGCCTGCCAGCCCCACCTATCCTTTCTTCTGCCTTGCCATTGACCATTCAGTTCTTTATTAGACCATCAGGCATTTTAGACAGGCAGAGAAACACAGCTTCATAGGGTTAAAAAAATGCAACATAAGCAAAAGTAACATACCTTAAGATCATATTCTACAACAGCATGGGCCACCATGTCTACCCTAATTCTCCATGTTCTACTAATATATATGAGTACTTTATCATGCTTACCCTGACTTTTGATAGAAAGCTCCTTAAGTTGACAAGAACAATAAATAAAGACAATATACAAAGGTTTGGACAAATACTTTCAATAAATACTGAAACTGAAACATCTAT